TTAGGAGATAATAGCTGCTCAATATATATTAGTTGAAAGAATTCACTTCTTTCCTTTTTGCATAAAGAATGATGTAGATGGGAGAGTCAGAAGGAGTCTCTGGAGTTGAAGAAGAGAAAATTGTACATAAAAAAGAGGACCGGAACAGAAGACACTCCAGACTTCACTTTTCCTGAAGCTGCACTCCTTTTCTTCAACTCAATGGTCATAAACAAAAGAAGTTATACTTACAGATAAAACCTTTTTATACTTACAAAAATAAATTTTTATTCCAAATAGTTTGTGAACATTCTCTGGCTTTTTAAATATAGTTGTGTATAAATTTAGCTTCATTCCCAAAGAATGCCATAATGGAGAAGTCATTAGAGTCATTTAAGCAATTTATAGTATCAAGTATTATGCATGAGCGTGAGATCTATTATTAAATTATTTTTCACTATTTAACAAACACAATACTTAGGGTTGTTGTTGTTTTTCAATCTAGCATGACCTTGCCAAATTAAGGTTTCAATTTTTGAATCAAGACTGGTTTCTCTGAATTATTTCAACTCAAGTTGCCATTTTCTGTTGTGCAGTACTATAGAGTAAGTTCATCTTTGTTGGTGAGGGCTGGCAGTAGCTAACTTTAACTAGGCAAGTGGCAGCAGAGATGAAGGTAAAGGGCTGAACTCAAGATACATTTTTGAATCAGCAATTGATGATGAATATGATATGTTCCATGCAGAAAGTGGGATAAAGAATAACTGACATCTGGCTTGAGCACAAGGTGAGTGAAAGTGAATTTTAAAGAATTTCCAAATATCAGATACAGGAAGTTTGAGTACAAAAGTAAATATAGGAGTTCTTGCAAGTTGGTGGAATAGGCAGACAAGATACACAGACGTTTTGCAGCAAAGCAATGAGAAATGAGTTGAAATAGATACAGAAGATAATCCTGGAACCCTGACCTTTTAAAGGAAGAATGAAGAAGTGGACTGAATACCAACTAGTATAAGAACCTGAACGAAAACAGTGAATAAGGAGACAAACGGATCTGTGGACTGCTGACTGCTCTGAGGGTGCAGCCATTATGAATATATGCAAGCTGTATTCTAATCCAGCAGCAACCTAAGAATTAGCTCTGCTCACCAATGACTGCATGGGCAA